TTATACTAATCAGCACCCAACACAGAGAAGGTTTATTACTCTTATCATTTACCATAAGAAGATCTTCACACTCAGAAACATGACTTGTTTTTTGTTATATAGGTCTTGGTTAGGGAAGCAATGCTGGATTCCTGAAGGTAGAGGGATAAGCCAGATGTTCTTTTGATATCTCCTTCTTTCTATGATCTATGGCTTTATTAAAAAATAAAGCCAACTTTTGGAAAGTTTGCAATAACCTGGCAAAGTAATACTGAAGCCAAATGTAATTTACCCATATTAAAGAGATCCAAGGATAACATAAATAATTTACATCTCCAGACAATACAAATTCTATTTGCTTCTACCTAACTTCATTAGAAAAACAAAATAATACCTATGAAATCATCTGCAATGTCTAGTTTCTATTAGGTACTCAATATATGTTGGTGGAATCTACTACTATTAAACTTACTTTCTTCTTCATAAGGATTTTATTTGTTGTGTTTTTTTTTTTTTTCCCTCCAGAAATATTCTCCTGTTAACACTCTGTGAATAACTACTTGAGGATATATCAGATCCCAGAAATGGAAACAGTTTTTGGTGGAACACACTTTCCACATCAGGACAAGATATAGCTTCCAGAGCTATGTTTAGAACATTTTCTATTTCTAAGAAATCTTACTGAATACTTAGACACAAAACCCAGGTTTCAGGTGTAGTAAATTCTGTATGAGTTGTAACCTTACATGAACTATCATTAAAATATTAGATTGTATTTGTTTGTATACTGCTTTGTAATTGTGCCTAAGTAGTTATACATATTCACTTTCTTATAAGTAATGTTAAGACAAGATTTATTAATTCCTGTTTTCCTTTCTTTCCCAACAAGTTGTAAGGGGAGTGCAGAGACCACTTAAAGACAGAAGTAAAAATGTGTTTGGGAGTTAGATGTGAATCTGAGCAGTATATCCCTAACTTACCCAGAATGTGGTCATGGGACAATCATTCAGCCATTTAACCTCTGTTCCTATTTCCAAAAACAAGGATGATGATGAAAATAATTTCCAAGATTGTTTGCAATCCAGTGAGTCAGAACAGATGAAAGAGAGATGTAATGGTACAAGAACTATACAAATATAAGTTCCTATGTCAAACAAATATTTAGTAGCTCATCTTTAAAACTATTATCCTTCTGGGTGTACAAATATGTTGTATTTCAAACCATCCTTTGAAGTTTGATGTGGCTATGTGACTGCGTTATGACCAATGGAATGGACAGAAAATGTCAGTACTTTTAGATCCAACTCATAAAAATATCCTTTACCAAACTCTATGCCAGCTGATTAGATGGTAATGTGCAGTAGAAACTTGGAAGTCATGTATTAAAAAACTTTAAGGTCTTCGATAGAGTCCCCTCCCTTTCTTGTGTGTCTGCTACTCCTAGGCAGCCTATTCAGCCACCATTTTGTCACCTAAACAAGGTCAAAGTGGTCTGGCCAGTTAGGAACAGGAGCCCAACCCTTCAGCCCTTCAAATCAATCAAAGAGCACAAAGCTGGACCACACTGGGAAGGTTGTGCATCAGGAGGTATGTTTGGCACCCCTGCGGGGGCTGAGGACCCATGTATAACATGTACCTCACAAGGTATGTCCGGAATGCCCAGGGGGCTGAGGACAGATGTATAACACATACTCCCGACTTATACATCATGAGGTATGACTGGGAAGGCCAGGGGGGCCGAGAACCGATGTATGACAAGGGACCCCAGAAGCTGATCAGTGGAGTGCCTTGTTGATAAGATTAGAACCATGGGGGGGGGCATAAGGTGTGTCATCAAGTAGATAAGAAGTACCTGGAGGGCAGACTCACAATCCCTAATCTTCTACACCCTTCCCCTTTCTTTAAACTCCTAATCTCCTTACAACCAATTATGTGTGTCAATAAAAGGGCCAGGATCTTGCTCTTCAGCAGTATCCTGCATTATGTAGCCTGCTCCAGGACTCCCGTTTTTTTAATCAATGTGGTGTTGCAACACTTTCTGCTACCAATGAATCACACATAAGTAGGACTAAACCTCTAATATGTTAACAAAATTATTATTTTTTTTGTTTTTAATTTATCTGGTCCAGCAGCCAGCACAATGCTAACCAATAATATATTATTATAATTAAATATTTGATAATATAATTTTCTTCCCCAATTTGTGTTGAATTTCAGCTTTTGTGTTGGCAACACACTTTGAAATACTAGAACGTTTAGTAGCACCCTTGCAAGAATTAAGTACCCAATAAAGACACAAGTGAATAGTAATTGCAGTGCAATCACTCCTGCAGTATAACAGTGCCCCAGCAACTATAAAGTTGCCCTACATTGACTGTACTGCTTAGATGGTAAAACTTCAACCCTGTGTGGTTATTTGTGACATCCTAACTATTGCTCTGATTTTTCTTTCACATATTTTCTCCTGAGTCAAAGCTACTGCACATTCTGGTGGCCGTGTTAACTGTCTTTTCATTCATAGGCAGAGCAAGTTGTATTGCACACATTGCAATGCCATATGATGTCTGTAACTCCATGGATGTTGAAAGATTTATTATAAATATATGAACTGTCAGCTACAGCAAAAATATAGTTTTCATATTAATAAAAATAAGCATTACACCTGTTGCTATGATACTTATTAAAGGTCCAGGGTTTGAGTCCTTAAGGAAACTCTTATGGACTTTGTGAAACCCAAGGTACACTCAGAGGGAATCTGCTGTGGGATTGGTGACTCCAGCAGGGTTGGTTATTTTAAGGCATGAACCACAAGCTTCAGCATAGCTGATCGGTTAGACTCCATAATGATCAAAAGATTATTTCTTAGCACCCTCTCAGCTCTGCCAAGCTGTTTTAGTTTGCTGTTGCTTTCATATTTCCTTTGAGCCTTTATCTTTTATCTTTTATCATATTTTGTGCCTGTTTCTTTTATCTTGGACACTTAACTTATGGCTTCTAATTCATGTTTATCATTCTATAGTGTCTTGTACAGAACCTGAAAAATTAGGAGCTCAACAAAGATCTATTATCTTCTGATGTGTGAATATAACAAGGATTGCTAACCCTTGGCTCCTGAGCCACAGTTTTCAAAGCACACTTACCTGCCTTACCCACCATAACTCTGAAATCTGAGGGGTAAGGCTCAATTTACAGATGAGGGGACATAAGATAAGAGAGATAAATCACTTTCTTGTTTCCATGACAAATAAGTGGCAGACTGGAAAATAGCTGCACTCTTTCCTACTGCTAATCTAGTATTTATTCTATTGACTCACACACAGCAATGAGCGCATTCAAGGTATTTTGGTGAGGATAAAAACACAAATTAAGTGAGATTTCATATATATCTGCAGGCAGGTATTTGGAATTTATCTAAACCTGATTAAGATGGAAACGAAAAATATTGGATGGAGAGGAAAATATGATGGAAAGGAAAAAAATATTGAAGACATTACAAAGAAATTATACATGATTTGGCAGAGACTATTAACTAATAACCTAATGCTAAACTCTATATCCATGTCTTCTGTTCAATTAGGTGTATGAATTAGGACCCTCAAATAAAATGTAAGAAATAAGTCATATGAGTTACTTTTAGGTCTAACCTCACAGATTGTGAACCACAGTGAATTTTTCCATCTTTGTTGCCATAGCCACAAGATGCAAGGAAGTAAAATCCCTGTATGATCACATGGAGAAAATTTCTATCAATCTGACTATTTCCAAGTATGGGCTTGTTTATTACTTCACCAAAACTTTTTCTAACTCATACAAGTGAGCAACAATATTCTCTCTCTCTCTTTCTCTCTCTCTCTCTTCATATTACTTATCTAACCATGCACTTATACCTACTTACCTACCTGTTATGAACTGAAGTGTGAATACCTGTGCAAATTCCAGCCCTGTCACTCACTAACTATGTGACTTTGGAAACATTATGCAAACTTAATGTTTTTTATCTGTTGTGAGATTAAGGAATTTATGCCTAAGGTAAGTATAAAAATGCACTTCTCTCATTGCAGAAAGCATTAATTGGCTGATGACCTTAGCTGGTAACCCCTTGAATCTGCCCCATAGTTCAACAAAGGTACTAATGCAGACCCCATGCTTTCAAGACAACATCTTTAATGGGTAACTTTGACATAGAGACACCCCTCATCCTGGCTGGAACTACCCTATAATTTGAGGCGCTTCCTGCCCATTTTCCCTGCATCACTGTTGAATGTTTCTTCTCTTCTTTGGTTCTCTTCTCTTTATCCTTCCCAACTATTTTCTCAATAAAACTCTTGCTATCTAACTCCATCTTGGAAATCCTAGAACAACATAGTGAATGTGAAGGGCTTAGCACAGAGTAAGTACTTAATTCATAGTGACTGTTTTTAAGTCATAAAATAGGAGATTCCATTGGCACAATGATACATAAAGTGGCAACCTTAGGGCTAGAGAGAATTCAGACTGTGATTTCAAGATTAGGAAAAAAACATGTACAACTTTGGGAAATCTCATGTCAGAGTGAATGTTATAACAAATGGAAAAAGGATAGAAGATGAAAACAGTATGAATGAAAAAAAATTCTTCCTGTAAGAAACAAGGAAAATGGACTGTGATTTTCCATTTGTCATTGTTGCTTAAAATTAATATGGAATATAAAAGTTTAAAAACATAATAAGGGTTGATTTATGATCTATGACTTGGATGAATTTTTTAAAAAATTAATATGTCAGTTTAAAATCCGAATTTTGTCACAAATAGTGTGGTACGGTAGACTTCACTGGAAGAGGTGGGATCCCTTATTTCCGAATCATAGTCAGTACTGTAAACCAGTTACGTTAATAAAAGGTATATAAAATAAAACACAAACCTAATTTTGAAATGTGTGTAAAAAGGTTGCTGTTTTAAAGAAAATGGAAGTTTGACTTATGTGTTGAATATTTGAATTTCATAAAGTATACACATCAGTTTTTTCCCCATTCTTTTTGCAGGTTTTGAGAAAAAGGAGAGAAGATGAAAACAGTATGAATGAAAAAAAAAATTCTTCCTGTAAGAAACAAAGAAAATGGACTGTGATTTTCCATTTGTCAATTCTTAATAGCACATAGACAGCCATTCTAATATCTACAGGATGTTGACATCAACCCCTTGTTTTATTTGATTTAAGGTTAGCAAATCTCCATATATGACTACTTTATTTAAACATCATAATAAAATATAACTTATATATAGAGAAGCTGTAAAACTTGGAAAAGAATTCTAAGAAAAAAAAATGTATTAAGTACTATTTCTTAATTATGTGTGAGGCATCTTATATAAGTCATCTCATTCAAACCTCTCAACAGTACTGTGAAGCCTTCTCTATTTTATGGATGAGAAAACTGAAGCATTGGTCTAAGTCATATACTTAGAATTTTGACCTGAGTCAGGACCTTTGTTTGAAACCATTGGGGCACTGGGAGTCCACAATGGATGCAGCCTATATAATACAATCAAAATATTTGTTAGGAAAGATAATTTTAAAGGAGTCACAGTTTGAGTTGTTAGTGTATGCTGTAGCTTTCACTTCAGGCACTAGAGAAGCAAGCATGGCATATAGAAGCAAGAGCAAAGATACACAATGGGAAGATAGAAAGAGATAAAAGTAGACTGGCCTATCCGAGTTAGGACCTCTGTAAGGTAACTAGGGAGCAAGTGAGGGAGAGGCAGTGGCAGTGGAGGGGATTGGATAATTGAGAACAGCCGGAAATGCAGAGGAGGCAGCTCTCACACCTGCTGTTTATGAAACTGTTCTGGCAGTTGTGGCTCTTGGTTTAGTGCATTTTCTAGACCTGGAATCCTGGCATGAGGGCCTGTTTTTTTGGGGGGGAGGGGGAAGTATGGAAATGGGAAGCATAGAGTAAATCAGGAAAAACATCCAGTTTGCAAAGGAAGCGATGGCCATGATATCATGTAAAGGACACGTTAGGAAATATGTTACTATCTGTACACATCAGGTACTGGCTCCAAGTCAGACAGGGATATTGCAATATTGGGAAATCAAGAGATGTTGTCTCTGGACAGAAGCAGTTAACAATAATTCAGCAGCCCTGTTTTCCATGTTTGTGAAAGACTTCAAGTAGTTTACATGGAGTATTGCCTAGGGACAGAAGTATGGCAGGGATGGTCTCAGAGGACCCCATCAGATATAGAACTGCCTGCCTCAGTGAGTACATCAAACAAAGGGATCTTCAGTCAAATCAGAGCTGACCAGGGTGTGACCTTGGTAGACTTGTGTCTACCAAGTCTGTCAGAGGAATATTGCCATTGCTCCCACTGTGTCATTTGCCAGAGCAATACTTACTCCCCACAAAAACACTAGAGTGGCAGCCACCTCTCCCAGACACCATTGTGTTTTTCCACAGTTCAAGTCAGCCCCAGCACTCACAGCTAACAGTCGGTGGCAAGCAAACTGCTGCCACACCACAAGGCTAGCTAATCAGTGCCTATTATGCTGTAGAAAGCTGCACTGATGTGTCTCTTAAAATTTACCACTGACACACCTACCATCTGACACCGTAAAATTAGCCCTGAGCTCCTGGAGGCCATGGCGACGACAATATTACTACATCAGAGACATTGTTATTTGAGATTCAGAGCAGCCTGTATACATGCAGATCTTCTATGGCCTTCCAGCACAACGGATTGAAGGTGTTATTCTTTATATTGTCAAAAAGTGTTAATTTTTCCAGAGCTTTCTCTCTTAAGAAAACCACTGTGCTATACTGTCATCTGATCCATTATGATTTACCCCACGGTCAGCTGCCTCTGATGAAGAATCCAGTGCAGGAGAAGACCTTCTCTGAAGAAGCCCAGAGGTCTCGTTGTGCATTAATGTTGAGCATCGGTTCAAAGAAACTGTTCGTTGCAGATCTTGATTGGTACCGGTGAGTCTGTGATTTTGCAACTTGTCTTTTCACATTTAAAAAAATTATCATGTAAAATTTCCATTTTTCTATAAAAATAAGTGCAATAATAATCAAAGTTTTAATGTCCTGAGTCTTCATCTTGGAGAATTACCTTATTCTGTGTAAACTTAACATTTTATGTACTAACATTTAAAGGGCCACATTTTGATAACTGCAGTAACATTAAGTATGTATAAAACCCTAAAGCCCTAGACCTGTTAATGGCTAAAGTTTAAAAAAAAAAAAAATTGTGACCTCCTTACTCTTGAACTGAAATCTTTTGTTTTTGTTTTTCTCTTGCTTGGGCCTTACATCATCAATGCCTTCATCGAGGTCATTTCTCGCCTGGAGACCATCGAACTAGGAAGCCTCCACTGTCCTTTTGAGGTCCCTTAGATCATCGCCCTGCGGTGGAGCCCTGACTGTTTCCCCTCATCGCCCACTTTCAGCAGGAAGCAGTTACTGATCAGAACGACGCCCCTTTTCCTAACTGCAGTTAGGGGCTCCATTCGCAGAAGGGAAGAAATAAGACATAGGGCAAGTTAGGGTAATTAGGCAGTGTTAGGGACAGTGCAGGAGGGGACCTCTGAAGAGTTTAGGAAGGCTTCAGAGATAACAACTAAAGAAATGTGTTAACGTTGGCCTTGGTTTCCTTCAAGTGATAACAGAGAGTGTTTTAATTGGAGCAGCAGACTCATTTATGCAAGGAGGAAATGAAAAGGGGTTAGTATTAAAACTGGTGGGCAGCAACCTGTTTTATTCAATAGTTGATGTTTAGTGACCAAATGAATAACTCTGTGACTGGCTAACTGGAGAGATATCCCTTGTTTGAGCAGAGTAATTCTCATTTGTTACTGAAGATAATACCTCTTGCTGACTAGATAAATGGTTTAGAGTCTGATTTTCAGAGGTCGTGGTCTGAGATGACCCAGAAAAAGTCAGTGTTTTGTATAAGAATGGCAATTTTAAATTTTCCTGTACTTATAAACCTGTGAACACATTATGTGGCTGAACTTAACCATAATTCTGAGACTGACTAACAGATAAAAGGCTTGGTAGCTGTTGTTTTCTGAGCTGACTAGCCGTTTTTCAGAAAAAAAAAAAAAAAAAAAAAAATGGGGGAATGTGGAACCAAGCTTAGCCGAGGTTTCGCCATTTTGTATATCCTCCACCTTGATATGTTAGTCCTTGTCCAGCCGCATTCCGGAGATAGTTTCAGCAGTCACAACCCTCACTCCACTTGGTGACGAAAAAGCAGACCACCCCAGCCGCCAATGAGGGCAGTCCTGTCCATAAATGGGACAGCATCTCTAACCATCCAATCAGTTTGAAACTGTAACCGCGCGCGCCAAAATGCCTTTGTAGTAGCCAGTGAGTAATTGCCAGCTTCTTGCAAAGTTCGCGCCACTCACGACCCTATAAGATACCCCTGCTACCTCTGTTCGGGGCTCTCGACCTCTGCCGTTGCATCGGTGTGTGTCGAGGGCCCGGTCTCGAGCCCGTAATAAACTCCCTTTTGCATTTGCATCAGCTGTCTTTGGATTCTTGGAGGCTATGCTCGCCGAGTCTGCTGATCTTGGGCACAACAGACAGCACAATATTACAAATGTAAACCTCTAGAGAAAAATGATTGTTGAAGGAACTGGGTATAAGTACTATGAATGGAATTCTAGTATTAAAAAAAATCAGGCCTTATGAAATATCATGTATAAATAAAATTTTAAACAATCAGGATAGAGCATTCAATGCCTGGGTTCTTAGAATATTCCAGATATATAATTGTCAGGGGGCACAGAAAACAGCCAGTGGTCAGAAGGCTGGGACAAGAGCTTTTCTGAACTGTAAACTAATCCACCGTGCTTCCTCTGGCATGAATGTGGAGGAGGAGGAAAAGGTTTGGGGAGTCGCATTTTCACACCACCTATTCTGAATGGCAATGCAAATTCAATGGGGAAGGCCATTGTGAGAGGCATGGGTAGGGAATTAAAGGCTTTAGGAGAATGTAAAATGTTCCCTGGTGCTGCTTTTATAACTGGGAATAGGGAATTTTCCACCTTTCTCCAAAGCTATTTTAATCCATCCGTATGTAGTCTCAGGGATTGAGATGGCTCTTCAGCTGCAACTTAAATTAAAAAACAAGTAGAATAAATGCTGAAACTTCGATATTAAGACACTTCCATAACTGTTTTTTGTTATTGTTGTTTGGGTCACAGTCCCCTGTTTTTTATTTTTTTTTTTCCTACTTCAGCTCCTGTTCTGAAATCTGCAGTGCTTCCTGGGAAGTGCCAAGAGAACAGTTTCTGTTGAATTTCTAGCTGGAACTTTTAGGATTTAAAATGTCCCAGTATGCCATTACTCATGCTATTTCAAGTTGTGTTTTGAATCAAATTTGACTAAAAATAAGGGCTTTCAGATTCTGGCGAAAAGGAAGAAATGAAGAGAGAGAGAGAGAGAGAGAGAGAGAGAGAGAGAGAGAGAGAGAGAGAGAGAGAGAGAGAGAGAAAGGAGGAATCGCCCGAGGAGCAGGAGGAGGGAGGGAAGGGAAAGAGTACCTTTACCTTTAAATACTTTGGAGATTTTTCAAATACCTATTTACTTGGTGTGAGGAGATGGCCATTGGCCAAGTAAAGCCTATTGGATATTTTGCATTTAGTATACTTTTAAAATAAATTCATTCTGGATTTAAGCACTTTGTCTAAGTCACACCTCCCCTTATCCCTGGATATCAGTGGTTCATATTTACATATTATAGTGTCTGAAAGGACAGGAGTTCGCTTTTACTTTTATTGCATCAGAGATTCTCTCAATGTATAGGTAAACAATCTCGAAGAAAATAATTGAATGTGAAGACCTGAAATCAATATTAGCACATCTTCTGAGGAGATATAGCCAGGGTGAACTGCTATTTCGATAAGACCACCGGCTCCAAGGAGACAGATGGAGGCCCTATGGGGGTCATGGCTCCCCTTGTAAAGAAAGCTGGAGTCACATACGTGCACAGTTTTGGCAGGAAAAAAAGACCAAGGCATCAACACTTCACAGGAGATAGCAGTGACTTTGTTGAAGAAATGTCAG